CACAACAATGATGATTCTACCCTACATAATTTTTTCAGTTATTGCCCTTTGTTATTTTTCAAACTCAATTTTTGTCCAGAGCATAACTCAAAAAGCCTTTAGATAGATAGATCTCACTCAGGAGGTGTGCAGTGCAAAAAAGTGATAACTCTACCCCCTTCATAGTTTTTGAGTAATTGCTTTTGTAATTTTGCATACTTTATTTTCCACCTGAGTGGAGCATAACTAAAAAAATCTTTGAGATGTCAACATGAACTTCATCGGTGGATTGATCTTATTGAGGAGGAATGTTGTGCGAAAGAATGATAACTGTACTGATTATAATTTTTTAGTTATTGATATTTGTTTCATACTTTTTGTCCGGAGCATATCTCAAAAAGTGTTAGAGGTAGATCTTACTCAGGAGGTGATAACTCTACCCTTCATACATGTATTATTTGAGTTATTGCCCTTTGTTATTTTTCATACTAAATTTTTCACCTGAGTCGAGCATATCTCAAAAAGTGTTAGAGGTAACACCTTGAAACTTCATAGGTGGATAGACCTCATTGAGGGGCGTCCGTGGCCGAGTGGTTAAGGTCGCTGACTTCAAACCACTTGCCCCTCACCGCTGTGGGTTCGAATCCCGACAGGGACTTTGGATTCTTTCATGTGAGGAAGCTATCCAGCTAGCTTACGGAACGTCGGTGGTTCTACTCAGGTGCCCGTTCGTGCCTGAAATAATGCACGGAAGGGCACCTGAGGTCTTCCTCCACCAGTAAAGCTGGAACGTCGCGATATGACCTATACTGTGTCGATGTGACGTAAAACCCAAAACAAACAAAGACCTCATTGAGGAGGAGTGCTGCACACAAGAGTGATAACCGAGCGTGCAATATTTTTCAGTTATTGCCCTTTGTTATTTTCCATACTAAATTTTTGTCCAGAGTATAACTACAAAAGCCTTTGAGATATCAACATGAAACTTCATATATAGATAGATCTCACTCAGGAGGTGTTCAGTACATAAGGGTGATAACTCTACCCTTCATAATTTTTGAGTTATTGCCCTTTTTTATTTTTCATACTAAATTTTTCATCTGAGTGGAGCATATCTCTAAAAAAAGCTTTTGAAATGTCAATATGAAACTTCATAGGTGGATATATCTTATTAAGGAGGAATGTTGTGCACAAGAATGTTAACTCTACCTTTTATAATTTTTTGAGTTATTGACATTTGTTTTATTTTTCATACTTTTTGTCCGGAGCTTATCTCAAAAGTGTAAGAGGGAATAACTTGAAACTTTATAGGTGGATAGATCTCATTGAGGAGGATTGCAGCACGCAAGAATGATAACCTACCGTGCATTGTTTTTTCAGTTATTGCCCTTTGTTATTTTTCATACTTAATTTTTGTCCCAGAGTATAACTACAAAGGCCTTTGAGATATAACATGAACCATCATAGGTGGATAGATCTTACTCAGGAGGTGATAACTCTACCCTTCATATTTTTTGAGTTATTGCCCTTTGTTATTTTTCATACTAAATTTTTCACCTGAGTGGAGCATATTTCTAAAAAAAGCTTGTGAAATGCCAACATAAAACTTCATAGGTGGATAAATCTTATTAAGGAGGAATGTTGTGCACAAAAATGATAACTTTACCCATTATAATTTTTGAGTTATAGCCCTCTGTTATGATAACTTAACCATTATAATTTTTGAGTTATAACCCTCTGTTATTTTTCATACTTTTTGTCTGGAGCTTATTTCAAAAATTGTTAGAGGTTACAACTTCATAACTACAAAAAGCCATTGAAATATCAACATGAAACTTCATAGGTACATAGATCTCACTCAGGAGGTGTGCAGTGCAAAAGAGTGATGACTCTATCCTTCATAGTTTTTGAGTAATTGCCCTTTGTACTTTTTCATACTTAAATTTTCACCTGAGTAGAGCATAACTCAAAAGGTCTTTGAGATGTCAACATGAAACTTCATTTGTGGATTGATCTTATTGAGGAAGAATGTTGTGCGCAAGAATGATACCCTTTATTATTTTTGAGTTATTGCCCTTTGTTATTAGTCCCCTACCGGTTTACCGGAGGGTACTTTAGGTTTACCCTCCCTCCGTCAGTCCGTCCGTCCGTCTGTCTGTCCGTCCGTCAGTCCGTCCACAAAACTGGATCCCGCGATAACTTGAAAAGTACTGAAAATATTTTTATGAAACTTGATATATGGATAGATGGCAGTATGGAGATTATGCACGTCTTTTTCTTTTCTTCCTATATTGAAAATTCTGGTTGCTATGGCAACAAATAGACTGAAAATATGGCAATTTTTACACATAAACTGGATCCAGTGTTAACGCAAAAAGTAATAGAAATATTTTTATGAAACTTGTAATATGTGTAGATGGCAGTCTGGAGATTATACACGTCTTTTTCTTTTCTTCCTGTGTTGAAAATTCTGGTTGCTATGGCAACACATATACTGAAAATATGCAAATTTTACACATAAACTGAATCCAGTGATAACTCAAAAAGTACTGGAAATAGTTTTATGAAACTTGACATGTGGGTAGATGGCAGTCTTGAGATTGTGCATGTCTTATCTGTTCTTCCTATTTTGAAAAAAATATTGGTTGCCTTGGCAACAAATAGGCTTAAAACATGGCAAATATAACAATATTTGTGATTAGTCAAAAAGAGCTGATTTTTTTTTATGAAATTGCATCTTTAATTCCAGAGTTATCTCCTCTTTAAGAATTTTGCTTTTTAAAATGTTATATTTTGGTAACAGGGATGTTTCAAATATTAACTTTAGAGTGTCCTTCAGTCCGTCTGTCTGTCTGTTCATAAAAACTTTTTCCTGTGATCACTTTTAAAGAACATTTCCAACAAATTTACTTAAACATTAGTGAATGGCCAATTGCCCTTCAGAATGCTGATGGGGTTCTTACCGGTAGGGGACTTATGGATTGCTTGCAATACTATGATAATTGCTTGTTTTTCAAACTTTTTGTCCGGAGCTTATCTCAAACAGTGTTAGAGGTATTAACATGAAACTTCATAAGTCTAAGATAAATCTCATTGAGGACGAGTGCGGCACACACCTACCCTGCATTATTTTTCAGGTATTGCCCTTTGTTACTTTTCATACTTAATTTCGTCCAGAGCATAACTACAAAAGCCTTTGAGATATCAACATGAAAATGTGGATAGATCTCACTCAAGAGGTATGCAGTACACAAGAATGATAAATTATTCTGCTCTACCACATATGCATGGCTCTTGTAACAAGTTACATTACAATACTTAATCAAAGGGCTGCAGCTCTATATGGTATTTTCTGATCTTTGCAATCTAAATCATACTGACTATATGGTATTTTCTGATCTTTGCAATCTAAATCATACTGACTATCTGTATGTACTTTCCTGTATAAGTTTAGTTTATATACTATTATTCATCTTACGCAGCGACAGCGTTTTGATTTTCTTCTATAACAGTTTGAGATTTACATATGGAATTTTGCATGAAAAAAAATTGCCTCGACTAGAATTTGAACCATAGGCCTCTCACACCCTCAACGAGACCGCTTACCTCTGCACCACGGCGAAGTTATACATATGAACCTTGAATAAAAACGAATACATTATGTAATTCTAAATTGAGAATTTCCATTTCGTGTTTGTAATCCTTATTAATTTCGAGGTATTTTGTTCACGATAAACGTGTTGTTTAACTGTAATATTTCTCATGTAATTTATGTACGTATATTTAATATGGATACGGAGTTCAGTAATTCACAAATGTGAATAGATTGAAGTAAGAACACAGATCTATGTGAGCTTTTCAAGTTTAATCTCAGAAGTGGCTAGTGGCGGGAATCGCCTGTCTATACATAAGAACTGCCCATTCAAGCATTAATGGAATAGTACTGATAGTATAAAGGTCAAGGTAAAATAATCATGCAGGTTAGACTAGTATCTGATATTGTTACAGTTTAACACTGATGAAAATAATTTATCGAAAATCTTCTCGCCAAAACAGTCCGACATGACTTTGTATATATTCCACTACTCGACAGTCAGATTTATTTGTGTACTACGCTCTGGAGTATTCGGTAATTGGCATAGCTAAAAATAGCATTTTCATTGATTAAAATGATATTCATGATAATCCGAAGCTTTACGGAAATAGCCGAACATTTTTCATTGGGTAAAAAAGATATTCATCCGCGAAATTTGTGATTGTAACCTCATATTTCTATTGACTAATCTAAACTTTTAATGCACTGTAATTCGTTAAATGCCTACATTAAAAATTATTCTTTCTTTTAAATTGCTGGTTTTTAAGCAGTTTTGAGTGAGAACTACTTTGCGTTGTTAGGACTGTTAGGAAATTTTGTGTTAGACCGTGGGAGTTAGCTATGTATTTACTGATCATACGATCAGAAAATACAAAAACCTTCTTAACAAGTTAACCTGTCAATTAAACTCGATGCTATTTGGACATACCTTAACATTATACTTATAACTGTTTTTTTTTTTGGTATTTTTTCTTTTTTTCGCCGTGACAATCACATTGCTGCATTTCCCAGCAATTTTTTACTTGTTGTGTATATGTGTGGTGGTTAAGGTTTGGGCTGGAGAATTTTGGGAAGCAGATATATTCCTTACTTTACGTATTCAACCTCAACAATATTAATTTCAAAACGGTACAAATTTTAATTCGTCATAAGTTTACTATGCCATGTTATGTCAGCTTGAAAGAAACTTTTTGTAATCTACACATTTTAATATCCGTTAGTTACTTTACAATATTCCCAATTTCACACAATTCTGTAAGTGAAAATTTTATACATATCTAGATACTTGTACGAAGTACTTTGCTATTAAGTTCTTATGAAAGTAAGACTAAAATGTTGTTAGAAAACATGTAGCTTTATTTCTAAGTTCTATTTCGACAATAAGCAGTATCTTCTGACTGTCCACATACGTTTGGTAAATCAGAAATGCAAAACTATATAATTCCAGGGTGAAAGCAATGACGGAGCCTCTACAGCGCCATCTAGCCAAAGCAGCAGTATGCAAGAGCTGGGTACAGCCGAGGAGAAGGGACTACGATCGTCATTCAGGGTAATTCCGGTATAAACAATTGTTAATAAAATATTGTTGGCAAATTAAAAACTAGGTGTTCAAGAAAGTCAGATTAAAATAGAGGAAAAGAATTTGAATATTCAGAATAAATGATTTATAGAAATGTGACCATAATTTAAACAACAATTTTCATTAACATCATCATCATTAACATCATCATCAGCATTATTATCATCAGCATCATCATCATCGTCATCACCACCACCATCGTCATCATAATTGTCATCGTCGTCATTTTCATTATCATTATCATAATCATCATCATCATCATCAGTAGCAGCAGCAGCAAAATTATTACATAAATTTTGATTTTGCTATGACTGAAAAAAAATGCCAGAAGTAAACGTGCCATTAATAATGATGCTGCCAAACGAGACAAATTTGTTAGCTTTTATCCATAGATTTCAAATCAGATAAATAGGGTCAATAAAAAACCTCAACAACAAAACAAACATAACGATATTTTTGAGTGCTTCATGGCATGCGTATATAGCACTATAGTGTGAACCATTTACAATAAAGTGCATAACCTGTTCAATTGGAATAATTTAAATAAATAACAAAAGCGGCTAACATGCAATGAGGAAGTTATGCAGGATATGGCTAAAAATCAATTAACAGTATCTAAATATATTCTATTTAAATTTGAACTGTTCGGTGTTGGCAAGTAATTTATTATTTGCAGGATAATTTTGATTTGTTGATAAATTTGAACCCAATCATGTGTTACAGAATGTACTAAATCTTTGCCAACTTATGAAGTCATCAAATATATTAAAAGTTAATTGTTACCTTGAACCAGAATTGATAGGGCGTTTCGACCAGTATAGAGGCATGACAGCCTTAACATCCTTGTAATCTGACTTTGCTCTATACTACCTACTCGCAGACTTTCTCGAAATTTCAATCCTAATTTACCAAAATTGGGAATGGACTCTTTCAGAAATAGAAGCCAGACAAGTCCAAATAAGAAATTCAACGAATTTGGTAAGTTCACTGTTTTAAATAAAGTGCATAATTGAATTTAAGCCCCTTACGTTGTTTCAGTGAAATACCAGCGTGCACAGTACTGGGAACTAATTTAACGTAAATGACGTCACGTTGTATTATTATTTGGCGCGCTTTTCATTCAGTAATAGGTTTAATGTCTTTTTAAAACGTTTCTTTGCAAATAATAAAAAGAAAATTTGTTTAGTTTAGTGTAAGATCGAAATATATTTCGCCTTGTGAACACCAAAAGTTCTTATTTCAATCGTGGCTGCGCCACTCGTGAAATATACCTTTTGGTGCTCACTCGGTGAAATATATTCCCGAATCCGATCTTACACTAAACTAAACAAATATCCTTTATATGGTTGTCAAGACTTAGAGCGCCTACACCGATAGACTGGATCGAGTCGTATGATACAATAAAGAAAAAAAATCAAATCGCAAAATAGTTACATTGTGGGCCCATCATCATTGTTAACATCACCATAATCATCATCATCATCATCATCATCATCATCATCATTATCATCATCATCAGCAGCAGCAGCAGCAGCAGTAGCAGCAAAATCACACTCAAGTCGTAAAAGTACAACAAACATAGAAAAAGAAAAAGTATGAAATCGCAAAATAGATACATTCTGGAAGTGCATTGTAAATCATTCGGTTAAGTAATAGAAAGAGCACCGAAACACGAGGTTATCTGATTTGTACGAGGGGGCGTAGCCCCCCGAGTATTACTCAGATTACCGAGTGTTTTGGTGTTCTTTCTCTTTTGTATCATAGTCAAACATAAAAACACGTTCCCTGTTGTCACAATATGAAACCCCGGCAAAAATGAACCAATGAACGAACATCTGAATATGATATTTCTGTCGCTTTCCCTTTCTCTGCCGTCACAATATGTAAACCCCAGCAAAAATGAGCCAATCAATGGGCATGTTCTGGAGTGCGGGTAACTAATACCCGCACTCCAGTTAACGCACTGTGCATGTATATGTATACGATTTAACCCTGACACATTTTCAACAGAAAGGTCTCCAAACTATGATACAATCATATTTTAAACCATTTGATAATAGACAATCTATTATCTTTCTATTTCTTACTTTCAGGAACAAGCTTTTGTACACGTGGACGAGGATGTAACGGTAAGACATTTGGTTGGTGTTTTGATACACAATTTGCGAGTGTTAAGCTATTAAGATAACAACTTGTAAATGTTTGCCGTGAGAATCTTTGAATATAAAATATTTTTGCTCTTGCAACGTAGTGCGCTTTGCATGTTTCTTTTTTATCGACGTTAATTACAACAATATACTAAATATCTGCCTGATTATCGTGTGATTAATCTTTTAGATCTAGGTGACAGATCATTTACAATCATATATTTTCTATGTATCTCAATAAGATCTTGATATTCTCGTACAACAATTACAAAGATAACTGGTGATGGGACTTTATATAACGTAACGTATGGTGTTTCATGCATCAAACATGACTTTAGATAAACCCCATCCTGACTTTCAATTCAAGTCTTTTAACTGATATAGAGCTAGGTCTCCTTCGTGTGTTTGACTCAATAGACGGTAGATAGAGCTAATACACATGTCGTAAAGTTCTGTGCTTTTTTAATAATAAAACGTTCAATAATGAATTGATATGACAATATTTGAGATGAAGATTTTGAGAATAATTCAGTATTAAATGTGACCATTATTATTGTTATTTTTGTGTGTTATTTTGTAGGACAATGAGGCAAAAGACAAAGTAAAAGTAGATAAAGTACCAGTTTATACAATACCTAGCGACAGGGAAGCAATAACTCCAGACATGGTAAGTCCTTGTGCTCTCTGCGGTAGCATTTCCCGCGTAAAACTGACACGTGCATTTTGTCGGCGAAACTCATACGACATCAATACTTGTTAATTTGTCTGGGTACAATCGATGAATCTTATAAATCTTTGTATTCATACATATTTGCTATATTTTACAGCAAATTTTATCAAAATGTGTACATATTTTGATTAATACAATAGAAAACGCAACAGCCGGAGAAAAGTAAGAATTGATTGTTACATTCTATTTTTAGACTGAAAATGGTGGATCTAGGGTGATCTTCACAAATGGAGGAATGCATAGTATAAATATTTCCCAAATTCAGAAGGTAGAATTTTTATTTTGTTGTTGATCTGTATTTCACAAATTATTTTTAAAATGAAAATTAAGAAATTTTCAGTTTAATTACATGTAGAAAATGTGAACTATTAACACCATAAAATATAATAAAACATCGCTAAAGTGACAGTCGTGTTCATCCTGGGACCAAAAATAACAAAACAGGATGATACATACAGAATTATCTTATTCATTTACCGTCATATAAATTCAGCCCCCTAAAATAAACGAAATTATAACTTTTCATGTCAAGCATTACGGGAGCAGATGACCTAAAAATGAACTATTTTGTGCTGGCACCTGATTGAATGAAATTCACGCCTCGCTAATCTCTGGTAATCCGTCCTAGTATATTTTTGGTCCCAAGGTTCATGTATATAGATTGTATCATAGATATAACATCTATTGCTTGACACTTCGATATAAGATATTAACTTCTGAGGCATAATCTGCCTTTGACTTATTGTGACTGGGCATACGAACGTTGATAAAACGCCACCCTGGAGCGCAGGCGACATTTTAAAACTGTCGATTTCATTAACTAAAACTACATTCTTCAAATTTGATAATGATATAAAAGGACATGTTTGTGCAATACATTTGTAGAATTACGACTCAAGGACCAGTGATATGACACGTTCAATGAGAGGTGAAATAAGAAAGCACGACAGACATAATGTCACAGATCATATTCTTAGTGAGGTATACTTGTTTAAAATATTTTTTTTCCTTATCAATTTTTTATTCTTCAACCCAAGCAATAGTTAACTTATTAAACAAGCAATACTGCAGGAGAGTATCCTTTGTAGATCTTACCCCATTTCAAATATAACACAAGTTTGTTCTGATTTATATGCGCAACTTAACACGTGTTATTTAATTGATAATCTGTAAATTTATCTAACAATTAATGTGATAACAATTATTTCGGCATGTGTATTTTTTGTTTGTTCTGTTATATATTGATACATTATGAATACATGATTTGTGCTGGTGGTTTTGGTAGTTTACCCTACGGATCACGGCAGAAAACCATTTTGAAAACACTAGAGCACAGTTAAACCATCGCATCTAATAAATGAGCCGTGTCACGACAAAACCAACATAATGCGTTTGCGACCAGCATGGACCCAGACCAGCTGCCCATCCGCGCAGTCTGATCAGGATCCATGCTGTTTGCTATCGGTTTCTCTACTTGTTATAGAGTTGGTAAGCGAACAACATGCGTCCGCGCAGTCTGATCAGGATCCATGCTTGTCGCAAACGCACTATGTTGGTTTTGTCTCGTGACGAGGTTCATTAATGATTTCTTTTAATCAAAGTCTTTTATATATTTTAATCAGATTATAGAGAAACCATCTCCAGAACAGACCGACCCAAAAGAAGACAAAGTAAGTAGTGTTATTGTAATTTATTTACTCTGTTTTAAACTAAACAAGTGTTAACAAGTCTTAATGGGACAAGCACACGTTTACGATAAGAACTATTTCTTATTCTAGTGTTCAGTTTTTTTTTCCGACCAAAGGCCGGCCAGTTTTCAGTTTTGGTCAGTTTTCAATTTGACTTCCTGTAAAATTTACATAGATGAACTGAATATAAGAAGAGTTTTCATTGATCATTTTTAAAATAACAAAATGTCATTTGGGAATCTCATTGACAAATCTAAAATAGGTTGTAAAGGATAGTTCTTGTCATTATTGAATAAAATGTAAAAGATAGTTTTGAAATAAAATGTACAGGATAGTTCTTTAACTTTCTAGTTAAATTTGCTTTTAGATATTTAAGTTCTGTTTAACAATACTTCTTGCGTTCAGATCTCATTATATCTTTTAGTGAATTGTTTATTTTACGCAAAATCTGAGTTTAAATTTTGTCCAAAATAACGAAAATAATATCAGTACTTATCAGGTACTCTTAGCTTATGATGTTCAAAAAGTGTCTAATTATATGTTTTAGCATTGCCACATGTAGTAGTAGTAGTAGTAGTAGTAGTAGTATCTTTATTTACATCTCATCATTGCATATACATGATAAAACATACATATATATTTAAAAAACAAAATAAATAAATGCAATGCCATTCCATATGGAATTATAAGAGATGGTATGAAGTGATCTTCAAATAGAAATCTTTACACTGTATAAAAAACCAAATTAACATTATACATTTCCTTTTTGCTTCTTTTAGGTTCTCTTTGCACCCAAGTTGATACTGTTTATACTGATAATTGCAATATTTGTTGGAGGAGTGTTTGTATTTGTTTATTTTCTTAAAGAAGACAAGCCCGGAGGTAAGACAGTATAAGACAGCCTATTACCTTTTATAAGTATCATTCCATATAATTATTTTTTTTGATTTTTGTATTTTTTATCTTGCTTATAAAATATAATAATATTTGAAAGAAAAATCCATCCATTCCGATAAAATTGAGTAAGAAGGTAAATAACTGATAAACTACTCAACACTTTCTTTGTTGTACGTGTACCCCGAACATGGTTATCCTTTGTGGTCGATCTAGCTCGTACTTCTGATTAGTCAGACCTGGCTCACATAGATATCTATGGTGGCTGATTTGTGCCATTCGTGTTTTCGCCCCGCGACCCCGCCAAGCGAAAAGTCGAGAATTAACAATTAAAAATGGCGGGGGTGCGGAGCGAAAACACACTAAATAGTGAGTGCGCGAGGCGAATAAAATATGAATGGCACAAATCAGCCACCATAGATATCCCTAAATTTGAAAATTGATAATATTAGACAAGTCAATTTAAACAATTCAGCAGGTTTCGATTTCTAATTGAAAAATAATGTATTCTATGATAGCTAATATATGAACCCCTGTCACATTTGCTAGATAAGGAAAATAAACATGAAACCATTTATTATCACTATGAATGCTCAATAACGAGTATGGACTGTAGCTACATATTTACATCTTATTATTTTTTTAACAGAACAGAGAGGTCGGGTAATTGTCGACGAAACGGAAGGTAATTCTTCTTTAACTTATACAACTTATAAATTTCTAATCACTTAACTTAATGTGTGAAGTTGGCGGCCTAGCGGTCCAGCGGCCTGGCGTCTTGAAGTTGGCGGCCTATATGAAAAACATATAATAACAGAAATTTTCAATTAAAACACTCTGGTGAACCACCTTTTTTCAAAGTAAACCAAAGTGACATTTAGGTATCATTCTATACAATACTGTTCCAGATTCCGCAATAACTATATATGCATGAATAGGGAGAATCATGGAGCTTTATTATGTAATAAAAGTCTCTGGAAGAACAAAAGGCAGGGTCCTTAAAGTAGATATCATTGCAAAGCTCTTTGTTTTTTAAAGTTATTTTTTTGGTGTTCAGACCTTTTTGGTTTTGCAAAGACTTATTATTTTTGAACGGGAGTGTTCGAGACCGAGTGGTTGTGGTCGTTGATTTCCATCCACTTGCTTTTCACCTCCGTAAGTTCTAATCCCGCCAGCATCTTTTCATGTGAAAAAGGCTATCCGGCTAGCATACGAATGGTTCTACTTAAGTGCCATTTTGTGCCTGAAATAACGCACAGATGGTGCATGATGTCTTCCGCCAGACCTTTACTCTGTTGGTATGACGTAAAACCCCAAAATAATGCTGCACAAACAATATGATTGTCTTATTCAATACAAAAATGATAATAAATGAGTTTTAATTTGATACAAATATATAATATTCTAATACATTGACATTATTTTCCATTTATAATTTCAGAAATAGAAGAGATCTACAAAAGTAAGAAGAATCTACACATAATTAATCATTGAATTGTTTTAAATCTTAGTTATTAAGAATTAAAATACGCTTTTTTCAAATTGTTGCAATGCTAAGATAAATGAGCCCCGTCACGACAAAACCAACATAATGGGTTTGCGACCAGCATAGATCCAGACCAGCCTGCGCTTCCGCGCAGTCTGATCAGGATCCATGCTGTTTGCTATCAGTTTCTCTACTTGTAATAAAGTTGGTAAGCGAACAGCATGGATCCTGATCAGACTGTGCAGGCTGGTCTGGATCCATGCTGGTCGCAAATCCATTAGTTTGGTTTTGTCATGACACGGCTCAAATATTTCAAGTTCATTCTTCACGGTTACACGGTAATTTAGATATTACTGTAAAGCGAAGAAATGTTCGGTAACTACGTTCAATTCATTCTATTTAGCAGAAGATAAATTATTTATTTCATGGTTTGTTTAGTTCTTTATGAGCACTTTTCTTATCAGTCAAACGGTATCATTGTTGGTTAACGCAAAACTAGACTGTAAAAAGTAATAAATAAATTAGTTAATGAATAAATAAATAAATAAATAAAAATAAAAATAAAAAGAAAAGAAAAGATTTGTGAATATGTTCCACCTCTGTGTTAGTTTTTTCATCTTCCATCATTACCTTGGACACAAATGATGCCTTATTTTCTTTTAATTAAACCTATCATCTTATGATTTGTTTCTTGTATACCATCCTACTTAATGATATTTAATTTTGTTGCATGTAATCTACATTTTCTGAATATTGTAGGTATTTGTCCAGAGGTGTATGTAAAATTGAGGGACATCATTCATTTCAACTGTAGTTTAAAAATGGCAAATTACAACAAAGAAAAACTTAATGAAGTATATATAAAACCGCCACTGTATTTGTATGAAGGGAAACCATTTGTTGTACAAGTTCAGGACAAGGTTAAGCATCAATTTCTAAAATGGTTCTTTTTCCATCCTTTAGAAATTTTCTGTTGTTTTTTTTTAAACTTGTTTTTGCATGTTTATAATTCACGTTGAATATTAGCTTAAAAATGAATACAGAATCACAAGCATTGTATTCTTTGTTATGCCTTTTGGTATTTTTCGTAAATTGTGAATGTCGTTTGCAATTTGTTAATTGCGCTTTTTGTTCAATTAATAAATTTTACTTTTAAATGTATTTTCAAAATTGTCATGAAAATTAGCACAAATCTTGAGGCATGGTGCTTTATAAAGTACCTGCTAATTTTAAGACAAGGAATGTAAAGCACATTGTGTGTACCTAAGTGTTTCATTTGTTTGATTTTAGGCTATAAGGCAACTCACTGTGAAACAGGAGAGCTAATGTTATTATATTTTTAGATTATTATACTCTAACTACCGTTGTTATATTTTGTTATTACAGGAAGTAGAGAACGCTACATGGTCAGCTTATTTTGACGTACATGCCAATCATTACATACTGAGGGTGAGGGGACCCGAGGCTACATGCAGCACTGGAGGAGAATATCAAATTGGGTTTCGAGATACCAAAAAATCAACGAAATACGATACGACATTGCATATATCTGTAAAAAGTATGATTCATTACTTAAGATTGTTTTCTATTTGTAATTTATTTATCTTAATACAGCCTAGAGAATAACATGGTCGATTTTTGATGTAGGTCTATTTCTGTTTTAGTATTTTATATGTTCTTGTTTTATACATGTACTTTCTTATATATTTCTTTACAATTCTTGGTACAAAGGTGTCCGAAATGTGACACAAGGACGGATATTTTAAATCTAAGCACTTACACCTCTCGTGACAATATTGCATATGCTGCCACTCTGTAATATATATATAAACTTTACATGCTCTATAAACACATATCCCACAAGTGTTAAAATATTTTCGTTCTTCTATTTTATGTAACTTTAGGCGAGGTGTTACGAGTAAATGTTTCATTGACACAAAATACGGAAAACAACGATACGGACTTTACCCTTGGTTGTTCAACAAATTCTGGATGCGAGCAGTCGTTTGTTGATTTCTTTGCAGAAATAAACAAAGAGGAACAGTTTCTTAAAGGTACTACACAATAAAGAAAATACGTCCACTGAATTTAGAGACCATCTCAAAAATAAAAGTAGAAAAATAGTGCGGACTGCTTGGTAGCAATCAATAAGATATTTTTTCCTGTTTGGCCTTTACTCCGCTCTATTTTCAAAAGGTTTGCTCCAATCCATCGGTAATAATGGTATATACTGTAGTCTTGTTCACTTTATCCATTGAGTTAGGTAATTAGTTTGTGATATCAACTTTTCTTTAATAGTTCATGGTTACACTTCTGATTTGTTGTTATCTTCTGTTTAAAAAATCTAAACCGAAATTATTTAATGTTTATACAATCATGATATTACTGTGTTTGCTTAAATATAGTACTGTAGTTAAAGGTATCAGACGAAACAATGAAAACAACCAAATAACCTGAAAATTGCAGACACGGTTTGATTGAGTGTATTCGTGGGGGGAAATGGAAAAATTAACATCCCTTACTTCTCTAGCATCAAACAAGATAAGGACATAAAATTATTGAAAGATATGCATGTCAAAATGTTTTTATGTAAAGAACTTGGATAACCTTTTTTCAGGAGTAAATTTTTCATGCATCATAAAGTACAATGACTATGCTTTTATGTGAAGAACTTTGATAACTTTTTTCAGGAGTAAATTTTTCATGCATCATAAATTACAATGACTATGATGGCTATAGCGTGTCTTGTATGGGTAACATACCAGATTATTTGATGGCCCAGTTCGAGAGGATCACGTGTCGTCCAAGATCATCACTCCTAGATGACTTTGACAAGGATAAATTAAAAGAGCTAGAAGTAGAAATTGAATTACCAGAATGTGATCTTACTAAACGTACGTTTTTTCCCCATCTTTTTGTTTCATCTTATTTTATCATTGAACATGTTTTTTGTTTTGGCTGATATCTATATGAAGTGTTTTGGTATATAAACAGGGTGGGGGTAACACCTCAGATGTTCTTCCTGTATTCTTTTATCACATCGAAATGCGTAATGATCACATGTTTTGGACTTTGGTAGAGACAGTGAGGGATTTCAACTCTGTTTTGACAAAGGATATAGTGGCAACATGTTAGATGACTTACCTCCACCCCGACATTCCGTAAACACATGTATGAGATAATGTTATTTGGATTATTCTATAACAATTTCTAATCAAATAAAATTTGGAATATTTGGTCAGTTTATTGGGGGAGAAAAATTTTAATCGAGTGCTCTGTGTCCGTGTACAGATTTGATTTTAAACCACCAATGTGCTAAGTAATGGATTAAAGGAACTCCACTGATGTCCAATACCCTTAGAACACAAAATTTGAATTTCTGTCATAGATCAGAAATAAGATATGCAAACGATTATGTATTTCTAAATATACTCAGAAATAAACTTAAAATCGTATTTTTGTGTTAGTCTTAGCTCGATTTGTGTGAAAACGTTGCAACGCCATTCTGGAATAAAATTGAGTGAGCGAATGATCTGAAATTGTGTACACAAGTTATTGGTCTAGAACTGCATCAAATGGAATATTAATCTCACAAAAATATTTCCAGTCCCATCATGTCAAAAACCCTCAGCGGGGTCCCTTTAATTGTACGTTACACAAAGGCATCTGTTAGGTAGTTATATTAGATACAAACAACGTTTTTTGTTTACTTACAGATTGTGGCTATGAGTGTACAGACGACCTAGATTATTATGTTGTTAGCAGGGAAAGATGTGACATTTTCCATCGTTGTTACAAACGAAAAGTATTTACCTCATACTGCGCACCGGGAACATTTTTCGATCCTCACGGCGGTTTCTGCGCATGTCGTCATACGGTTGACCTACAGTGGTGTCAACAAAATGGCGCGTTAAAGCCTGGCTCTGATGCAACAGATTTTAAATGTTCTGGCGACGAATAAAAACACTGATGCAGTTTTAAATTTTCAAATGAAATTTATCATTCATATGAACAACATATTGTGTAAAAAATCACAAGTATTTTCTGGATAATGCATAATCATTGTGGCATCCGTAGAGAAGTCTAATTTATAATGTAAATTTGATAGTTCTGGAAAAAAAACCCATTATACTTTGTTACTTAAAATAGAGGTATATTTCCAAAAGCGAACAACAAAAAATAATGTGTACATTAAAATCAAAGCATATGTTAAAAACAATACAATCAATGTAATTGGGAATGGATAAGAACAGAAATTTAAAACAAAATACCTCAATAAACAATATGTCCGGACAAAACTTGTTAAGACATTTATGGACTCTTTTTTCAAAACGAGATAAAATAAGGTCTAATGATCTCCGCAAGAATTATTCGCATATTTTACTAGATTGCTAGTTGTCTTCATTTTTTATTATACTTCATCTCAGATTCCTGAAAGTGGCAACACACTTTAATTCTCGTTCGTGTTCCTAACCTGTTTTCATTTGTTTAAATGTTATTTAATAGAAAGCTGTTTATCCGCAAACACATATACCTCACGTGAATTTGCCTATTTACATTGCCATTTATGTGTTATTCGCCTATTTGTAAAATTTCCATGTGACTTTATTCTTACACCTCACGAGGGTCTTAGATTAGACTGGTGTTACAGAATTAAAGAGTTTGTGTCTGACGAAATACCTTTTGGAAGTCAAATAGAAGGTTATTAAAAATTGTTTGACAAAAGGCAATTCCGTCGTTAATAAAAATACTTTGAACTATGATTATTATATTTATGTAACATAGAGGATATTTGTTTGTTTGTGTGTAAGATGAAATTTTATTTCATCGAGTGGTCTTTAAAAACACTTTAAATACTCGTGAGAATACTTTTTTTAAAGTTCACGAGATGAAATAAAATTACATCTTACACAACAAACAAACAAATTTTCTTTTTATTTTATGCTTGAAAAAAGTTAAAACGAAATTTCCTTGATATTAACTTCATTATTAAAATCTGTTTTCCCCACTGGTAACCTATATTATGTACATGCATTGGTCGAATTTCTGAGTGTAGGACAAAAGCCATCCCCGGACGAAAGCCCCCCGTCTAAAAATGACAAGGTGGACAAAAGCCCCCCCCCCCCCATGAAATTTCCACATAGGACAAAAGCCCCCCCCCCCCCACCATAAAAAAGTAAAGGTAGGACAAAAGCCCCCCATGGTCCATCAAACTTACATTTAGTGTAAATGAATATCTGCCTTTTTTTTTAATTAATTTGGTTATTTTGTTATATATATCTAATTAACAAAAACAAAAACATATATTTGTATATGTATGTTTTTTTTCAATAAAATTGTTTATTTTGTTAATTTGTTCAAAATGAAACCCTTATTCACCACTTTTACATAAAAGTCTTTTGAATTTGATTAAAGATCAAAACTGATAATTCCCAGCTATTGTTAAGGTATTCTAATTACTAGCTTGATTATTAGATTATAATCATCTATAATAGAAATAATTGATTGATAATAGGTTAATCTTTAATAAGAATAATTGATAATAATTCTCTTCTGACGCTTGTTGTGTATAAGAAAAGCTATGAATTCAGTATCGCATGCATGCATTATTTCATCTATTATCATACTTTGTTATCACTTCAATATATACAGTATTAATAAACATTAAAACAAATTCTTTTCATTTTTATTAATTCATTTACACTATATGTAAAATTGATGGACCATGGGGGGTGGGGGGGCTTTTGTCCTACCTTTGCTTTTTTATGTGGGGGGGGGGGGGCTTTTGTCCTATGTGGAAATTTTATGGGGGGGGGGGGGCTTTTGTCCACCTTTTCATTTTTAGATGGGGGGGGGGGGCTTTCGTCCGGGGGGGGCTTTTGTCCGTATCCCGAATTTCTCATAAAATGCAAAAAGTCTTGGGTTGAATAAAAAAAGTTCGACAATCAACGTTGAATAGCGATGATATTATTCATTTTATTCAAATAATATGAATGATCGCTTGTTTAAATAATAAAAAAACAAACAATTCTAGTAGGAGAAAAAGTCAAACCATCCATCTATATTTCTATTACTTACGGCGCTGACTCTGTGAAATGTAAGCGACCGCCATTTTTATAAGTTGTGTATTTCACGGGAGGAAAATAATTGTGTTTGATTCAGAGGGATATCATTTGGATTTGTTAGTCATACACCTTTTTAGAAGAAAGAAAACTTATTTGAGGATTGTAACAGACAATAAAGAAGTGTTGACAGATGTGTAAACATTAAAAAAGCGCTATGATTAAGGAAATTTGAAAACATGGAATTTTTGAAAGGCTGCCTGACGAACGCTGGGTTGTAACTTATTCTTATTCTTATTCGGGCTGATGTCTGTCATTGCTTTTCAAGTTTTCATAAAGCATACGACAGTAACTGCTCGCAGGAAACTTAAATATGCCTAAATGTCATCAAGAGCAGTTTTGCATGTGGAAGAAATGTATTTTTCAGACTGTAAAAAAAAATTAGAGACGATATTTGATGATTGGTAATTTGAATGAATAGATGTAAGTTTTCTTCTTTTTATTTCTTTTGACATTTAAGTTATTTATCAATTTTACCTTCGATTTTCTCGAAACAGCCCTAGCATTGTCAGAATTGTCAGCAAAAATGAAATTGAGGTACCACATGGGGAAAATCTTAAAAATGTAGTTTCGTCATTGAAAAGTGTGAAATTTTACTTTGATAATTTTCACTGTGAAATTATCAAATACAATTTTCTTGGATAAATCAGTAATTCACTGAAAAGCATATAATAAAAATGCATATAATTACAATTTTTTTGTATTATTGTCATTGCAAGATTATGAAATAAAATACATCTTTTGTAAGGTGGTAATTTTCGAACATTAATGAATTTCATTTCTTGGAAAGATAAATATGTATTTCACTCTCAGAATAATCTGGTTTTATTTATCTGTAATATGGAAAAATAAAAAAAAACTGAATAATCCTTTTCTAGTTTTGATTATATAAACCCATACCTGATCTGGTGGCGATGATATGAAACCCATACGTGATCTGGTGACGATGATATAAACCCATACCTGATCTGGTGGCGATTATATAAAATCCATACCTGATCTGGTGGTGATGACATAAACTCATATCTGATCTGGAGGCCATGAAATAACACCCATACCTGATCTGGTGGTGATGATATAAACCCATACCTGATCTGGAGGCGATGACATAAAACCCATACCTAATCAGGTGACGATGATATAAAACCCCATACCTGATCTGGAGGCGATGATATAAACCCATACCTACTCTGGTGACGATGATATAAAACCCATACCTGATCTGGTGGAGATGATATAAACCCATACCTGATCTGGAGGCAATGATATAAACCCATACCTGATCTGGAGGCGATGATATAAAACCCATACCTGATCTGGTGACGATGATATAAACCCATACCTGATCTGGTGGCGATGATATAAAACCCATACCTGATCTGGAGGCGATGATATGAAACCCATACCTGATCTGGTGACGATGATATAAAACCCATACCTGATCTGGTGGTGATGATATAAACCCATACCTGATCTGGAGGCGATGATATAAAACCCATACCCATACCTGGTGGAGATGGTATAAACCCATGTCTGATCTGGGTGGTAGGATTTCTTACCATCATGGGCTAAGGGTTTATCTTTTTTTTTTTTTTTTTGAATTTACACACATATGCGCCCCTCACAATGTTACATAGATCTGTTGTCTAGGCAAAGCTTTGGTTACACCGAAATTCTGTAGCAGAACGAAATGGTTTAAAATCATTTATTTATCGCAGTTAAAATATATATGAAGAAAATGAAGAAATTAACTCAAGCTTTACGTAAACAACACTTTCGGTTCTTTGATGCATGTTATATGAAAATATCACAAGAGCAGGGAGACCACTATGCAAGAATATATATCCCGAAATTTTAATAAGTATCCTCCCTTGGAAAAGACAACTTGCACAATGGTAAAATCGAATTTCAAAATGTAATTGATTAAACGAAATAATGTAGATTGCTGGCTAGTTTCACGTTTACTTCGGGCAATCTAAAAATAACAAATTCCTCTCAGAAAGCTGTTTTATCATATACTGGTTTCCTAGCAATTTCCGGTTCCAAATAGCACTTTTTTCACCAATAAAATAAAAATCTGTCTACGGAAGAGTAAAAAACTTTGACAAGGCAAAGTTTGGTATCTGTCTAGCATTGCCATGTTTTAATGTTGCTCTTTAATTTTACTTTTTGATTTGAATATAGGTCTGAAATGTAACATCTTTTTCCTCTTTTTCCTCTTTTATTTAAAAATTCAAAGCAGTTTTTCGGATCTTTTTTAAAATATAATTCAGTATCAGTAAACAATATTAAGGTAGAACGCGACACTTTGCGAACTTTCGAGTAGCGTCTTGAAAATTGGCATGCAGAAAGTTGACCACATTTCTGATAAGATCACATTGATTCTATTCCAATATTTTCAGCCAATTTTTGAACACACGACGTCAAAGTTGACCATCAAAGCCCGTGAACAAGACGTCGTTGCGTATCCTTTGCAACTATTACGGGTACAAAACTTCCCATAGGTTTCCGTGTCGTCTACAAAATATATTTTCAGAAGTATTGATTTACCTAGAATAGGGTCTTGCTTATGCAGGTGTTGCTTATTTTTGAAAGTCGCAAGTTCTCTTATGTAACTTTAAACAACAGGCAGAACTTCAAAACATAAATCGCTGTACTATTTTAAATGCTGTTTAGCATAGAAAACGAATGTCTCTCTGATTGATGAAGTAACATGGATGACTTACTGGTAAAATAGACGTAATGGACGAAAATGGTAAAAAAGTCGGAAATTGCTAGGCCGGAAACGGAGAAGGAGGGGGGGGCGGGGCCTATTGAAAACCAAATAAAATGAAACTTATTTCTTTTGTAAAGAATTTGTTAAAAGCCACTTTAACACTTACAAAAATGAAGTTTTCTTTCTTATGAAAGTTTGAATCGATAAAAGGTATGAAATGAGGCATTTGAGGAAATAAGTTCAACATATGTTAAGATAGAACTTAAAAAAAACAAAACAAAAAAACCAACTCCCCCGCTAAAAACCAAAACTAAACAAACACAAACAAATAAGAAAATAAATTATAATTAAACCAAAACAAACATAAGAAGACAATCAAGGGAAGACATGCACTCTGCATAAGGACAGAGGCTGTTTAATTTCACGTTTTTTTTAATCGATGTGCTGCCAAACAATTGTCTCATCATTTACCTTACTTAACTAAATACATACGTCTGTTATATATACATGTATATCTTTATTATTTCTAAAAATATTTCAGTTCTTATATACATAATGATAACGGTGATTTGTTTATTCATCATGATTGAGACATTGTAACAGAAAATGATACTATAAAAGGTACTTGGAAATATCCGTAAAGAAAGAGTAACGTTACTATAGTCATTGTTTTAAAGGTCATTATATTGTCCTTGTAACAAGGATTTATCTACGTCATACAGCCTGAGAGGATCCTGTTACAAACTGACGTGTAATCATTGATTTTTATAATGATTATATGATTATATACAATATTCTAGCATGACTTGCTTCATTTCAACTTTTTTTTTCAAAATCATTTTGTGAAATGAACCTGCTCAGAAACATAATTATATGGAATTCGAATTTTCAATCTTGTCGCACGTTTTAACTGGACATTGTAGTGTCAAGTATTCGTCATTGATATCGATCACGTGACATACTATATCATTTCAATGATGGAGCCATATACTTATTTTGGACATAAATATGGAATCAGTACCGACTTCACGTTTACGTTTTATTACCATATATAAGGCTATTGAAATTTTTCTCAAATATTTAAGAATTGTTCTTTTTTTTGGCTTGCAGCCACGGCTGCAAGCCATTTCATTTGGAAAACCTGTTCCGGTTAGGTGGTTTTCTGCTTACATTTATAAGTGCATGATTGAACGGGAAACCAGCTGAAAT